CCATGGTCAGATGCCAGCCCAGGAGAGACTGACAGTAATGATGGCGTTCCTTCTTTCGCCTCAATCCTACACAATGTATTTAATAATAATTTTCAAGAGTGTGATTATGTCCTGCTCTAGGAAAATGGACCTTATCGAACTACCACCACAAGGTGCTGCTTAATTTATCCAGAACCTGTATCTCATTCTTCAAACTACTCATCTCTCCTAGTAAATTTCTGTTCATTTTTAAACTCAAATATTTCTTGCTGGAAGCCTGTTCACAATATATTATTCACCAGATAGGTCCGGCCCTTATATTGCACAATATGATGGCATAAAAATATTTCATTCAGAGCAGTTAACTATAGTCTTAATTACACACATTGGTGGTAGATTATTTTATTAAGAACTCACCTCTTAAATAAGATGCGATTTAACTTGGGCATATTTTCTCACCATTGTATGTGGTCTTTGGCATTCAATATATACAAAATAAATGCGACTGGGTCAGGAAGAATAGTTAATATGTAAAGAGGCATATTAAAAATTTAAATCTCAATCTCTTCAGACAAAAGGAATGAAGAGAACTCTTAAAGGAATGATGGAGATTGTCCTGTTTTTCCTGAACAATAGGAAGGATTAGTGATTTTAGCATCCAGGCTGCTAAATATCACTCAGTTTCACGAAATCAGCAAAATAAACATAAAATAATGAACTGATCTCCTTTTTATTAGACTGTTGGCTAGGTAGACTAACTGTTCATTAGCAGATGGGTGATGTTCATATATTTTCCACACTGGCTTTGACACATTCTGGTAACATGTTTTTAAAGAAGATATTGGATATCGGAGGATTGCACAACCCATATAGTTTGAAACCTCCTGACTACATGATGAGAAAAATAGGAAAAGAAATAGGAAGACACTTATAAGTATATAATAATTATACTTCAGTACTTGATGTGTTTCTTTTCATAAATGGTCCTCAGGGCAGAACAGAATGAATATGAAGACCTGATATGGCAATAGGTTTCAGCTAATTACAGAAAGCACTTTAATTGAGCCATCCAGCAACAATAGAGTAAGTCAGTCAAGACTGAGTGAGATTCCCAGGGCACTGAAGGGGACCAGAGGTTGAAAGGCCTGTTGTTCAGATGGTGTAGGAGATTCAAACACAAATGAAGACCTGAGCTAGGTCATTCCCAAGGCTCCTTCCAGCTAAGAATTCACGATCTATAGTTATTCTCAAGGAGCAATTGTATTACAGACCATGACAGCATTATTAAAATGATAAGGACGTGATTGACTGTAACAAAATTTTCAGAAGGCATCAGTATGGCACAGATTTCAAAGTCTTCCATCACAATATAGGGGAAATGTTAATCTTTTGATGTGTTGTACCCTTTGTATTGCTATGTCCCTGACTGACACAATTTTTTAATGGAGCAATCCAAGCTGGGTGCACAGCTGTTTTTAATAAAGATTTCACAACACATTATTTGGTTACAAAATAATGTGAAAAGTCATAGAGAAAATAATAAAGGGTGAATGATTTAGGTTTTTCACAATACAGTAATTCAACATATATTAATTGAGGGCCTACAAGTTACATAACATTATGCTGGTATTATGTTGTGGTGGTGCTGGTGATGGTGGTGGTGATGTAGTTATTGTGATGGTGATGGTGGTGGTGGTGATAGAGGTGATGGTAGTGGTAGTGATGGAGGTGATGGTGATGGTAGTGGTGGTATGGTGATGGTAATGGTGGTACTGTGGTGGTGGTGGTGATGATCGTAATTGTGGTGGTGGTGGTAGTGGTGGTAGTGATGGTGGTGATGGTGATGGTGGTGGTGGAGGAGGTGGTGGTTATGGTGGTGGCGGAGGTGGTGGTGGTGGTGATATGGTGATGGTGATGGTGGTGGTGGTGGAGGTGATGGTGGTGGTGGAGGTGGAGGTGATGGTGGTGGTGCTGGTGCTGGTGGTGGTGATGGTGATGGTGGTGGTGGAGGTGGTGATGGTAGTGGTGGTGGTGGTGGTGGTGGTGTGTCAATGAATTGAACTGACCTATACCTGACCCTCCAGAGGGACTTCGTAGGCAGTAAGTCACATGAAAGGAGACTGTCCATCCTTCTTCCACAGAACAATTGGTGGACTTAAACCTTTGGGTGTTTGCCTCTGGTATTGCAGCACATGAGAGACAAAAATCAGTAAGGCAGATCATTCCCCTTGACCTTTCAAATAGCATTTGTAACAATGTTTGTCTTTTATTATGTAAGCATTCATTTTCTAACCAAAAGGTCAGTGGTTTGAACCCACTACCATCTCTGTGGAAGAAAGATGTAACCATGTGCTTCTGCAAAGATCTGCAGCCTTGGGAACGTGATGGGCAGTTTTACTCTGTCCTACAACATTGTAACGAGGCAGAATTTATGCACAACATCACCAGAGTTCCTACCATGGAAGAACAGAAAATATTAAGATGTAATAATTTAAAACAATGCTGCATTTATCTCTTCCCATCCCCTTTGAATGTGAGCGTGTCTGTGGAAAGAAGTTGAGTGGTGGAAACATATGAAGGGATAAAGGAGAATGGGATCTATGCCTTGAGAATAGTCTTCCTTCATGTCTTATTCTGAATGAGTTTCATTAATTTGGAGTTTAGGAATGGATTTTTTTTTTTCATTCGCAGAGAAGGTACCACCTTGTAAGTTATGTCTTATCAGACAGACTTGGCTAGAAGTTGAGTGATGGCAGGTCCTGCTTTGGCTCTTTAAAATGGAAGAGAAACATGCAGACAGGATTGGCTTGGCCTTTCAAATGCACCATCCAGACTCACAGGACGTATGCTTAGATCACTAATAAATTACAATCACACAATTTCCTCCATCTGAAGTGTGCCCTTTTCTTTTTACGGCTACTCTTCCTGATTGGATATTGTCAGAGAAATTAGGAGTAGACAGGGTTGTGAGAAATTAGGAACAGACAGCATTGTGGTTTCTAAAGTCGACAGCTAACATAATCAAATGCAGAGTTTTGACAGCCCTTCATCTCCATGACCCTTCTTAGTCTTACTTCCTCATCTTAATGTTGTTGTTGTCATGTACTGTCGAGTATATAACAACACCGAGTCCATATCAGAACCGGCTCATAGCTGATCCTCCAGTAGTTTTTCAAAGACTGTAAATCATACAGGAGGAGACTGTCTAGTCTACTTTTCTCCATTGGAAGAGCTAGTGGATTCAAACCACCTACCTTTGGGTTGGCAGCACAACTCCTTACCCTCTAGGTCACAGGCACTTCCTCGCTAGTATAGTGATGAGTACTCCCGCCTGTAATGTGGGAGGCCAGGTTTTGATCCCCTAACAGGGAGCCTCATCCTAAGAGATATCGCTAATTTTGTCACAATTACTGATCTTTCTTAGGCATAACTCTAATGGTGTCATGCCACCCCTGCCACGTTCACCAAAAGGAGGAATCTACCTTTCCTCACCTGCTGGCCAGCCTTTTATCTGTTACAGTGTATTTTACTACTGTTCAATTCTAGCATCTGGCAGTCCGTTCAGATTAAAGCACTGTTTATCACCACACCTCATGTTTTCCACTTCTAAACTGTTTTCCAACAAATTTCTTTCATTTAAATGTTCTTACTACTCTATGAGCCTTCCTTGATTTTTTTTAAATCGAGAATGCTTCCTTTATCTGAAATTATATGGTCCCGTGTATGCCTCGTGACCCAGTGAGTAAGGAGTTGCATTGCCAACACAAAAGCAGGTGATCTGAGTCTACTAACTGCTCTGAAGGGTCATCCTGGTGGCCTAGTGGTAAAAAGCTGCACTGAAATCCCTAAGACATGCGGTTCAAATCCGCCAGCTTCTCTATGGGAGAAGGATGAGTAATCTCCTCTCTTGCAATTAACTGCCTCTGAAAACCTGCTAGAGGGTCAGCTGTCGGTCAGTTCTGACCTGACAGTACACAACAACAAGACAAGAGCTGCCCTCAAAGAGAAAGATGACAAGCCTTTGGAGGGTCAGCTTTGAGTCAGTTTCAACTCAATAGTCATGAGCTGTTGTTTATGACATAATCAGCCTTGTATTATAAACATCCTACATATGTTTTATTAGATTTTGAGCATTACATCTTCATATCCCCACAGTGCTATCTCCAGAGGTGGTGCTGTTGTGTACCATCAAGTCAGAACTGACCCATAGCTGACCCTCCAGTGGGTTTTCAGAAACAGTTCAATCGCACGGGAGAAGACTGCTTATCATTCTCCTGTGGAACAGCTGGTCATTTCGAATTCTGTGCAACCAGGATTGCAGTGCAGCTTCTCGCCACTAAGCCACCAGAGCTGGTGGGTGTGACTAAACAAGTAAAAAAAGGGAAAAAAGGAAGTGTTCCTCTCTCTACATTCTTGTTGTTGTTTGGTGCCGTCGAGTCGTAGACGACTCATAGCGACCCTATGAACAAACGGCCTGAGCACTGTTCGTACATAGAGTTTCTGGAGGCAAGCCCTTTTGGAAGTGGATGCCGCTCCTGCTTCCAGGCTTGTTTCAGTCGGGAAGCTCCAGCCAACACTGTCCACCGTAGGTACCTATTACAACGATTGGCACATCACTGTCACAGTGTTCAGCATCACAGCAACCACGAGTTACCTCTGTACAGCAATGCTCAGACCAGTGCTATACACCCTCTTAAAAATTCCTTAACACTTTCTTGAGAATTTACCAAGCAATTTAATTTCCACACCAAATCTTCCAGAGTAAATGCCTCTTGAATTGTGCCACCTTCTCTTCTTTTCAAAATACCCCTATGTGACTTGGCCTTACAATTGAAAATGATACATTAAGTTAAACATATTTATGCAGAGAAATTTTGGAATGAGAAAGAAGAAAGTGAGCTCATCCTGATACTTCCGGATTTTAACTCCTTCGATTAATGGCTCCGAGGGTAATGCACCGTCACTCTGATTCTCCCTTCTGTGTTTGTAATTCTTCACAGAAAAAAGCTATTATTAGTTCCATGACCTGGCAAAACTGCTCAGCATCGACGGACTTTGTGTTCCTGGCCTATTCTTCCCGCCCAGAGCTGCAGATTATGTCCTTCACGGGAATAAGCCTGGTTTACACTTTGATCCTCATTGGGAATGTTCTCATTGTGCTGGCCATCCATTCCGAAACCCACCTGCACACACCCATGTACTATTTCCTGGGCAGCCTCTCGGGGGTAGAAGTATGTTACACTGCTGTAGTTGTACCGCACATGTTGGCTAACACGCTAAAGACACAAAGGACCATCACCTACTTGGGATGTGCCACTCAGATGGTGTTCTTCATCGGGCTGGGCAGCGCTGACTGCTTCCTCCTGGCTGCCATGGCGTATGACCGGTACGTTGCCATCTGCTTCCCCCTGCAGTATCCTCTCATCATGACGGTGAGTCTCTGTGGGCGCCTGATTGTGGCCTCGGTCATTATTGGTTTCTTCCTCTCTATACAACTGGTGGCCTTCATCTTCTGTCTGCCTTTCTGCCAGGCTCGGGGCATCAGCCACTTCTTTTGTGATGTGCCACCAGTGATGCAGCTTGTCTGTGCCAAGAGCCACCTCCATGAGCACTCCGTGCTGGTGGCAGCCACGCTGGCTATTGCTGTGCCTTTCCTCCTCATCGTCACCTCCTACACCTTCATAGTGTCCGCGGTGCTCAGGATCCACTCCTCGGCTGGCCGCAGCCGGGCCTTCTCTACCTGCTCCTCCCACCTCACCGTGGTCCTGCTCCAGTACGGCTGCTGTGCCTTCATGTACCTGCGTCCCAGCTCCAGCTATTCCCCCGAGAAAGACCAGCTCCTCTCGCTGGTCTACACGCTGGGCACCCCACTACTCAACCCACTCATCTACACCCTGAGGAACAAGGAAGTGAAAGGGGCCTTGAGGAAAGTGCTTAACAGACATCACCCTCCCAAGACCAGCTAGTGGGAAGGTCAACTATCAAGTGAAATTTGGTTTTGGTCTGTGCATGTGAGATTTCTAACTCATATTGTTCAAACTCATTCAATATTTTAAAAACTGGTTTGAATCACCTGACTACAATTTAGCTATAAGACTTTGACTCATCCACAGTCTATTTATGCAGATGACATAATCTTGCTTGGAGAAAGTAAAAATTACTTGAAGCACTTAATGAAGGGATCAAAGGCTACAGCCTTTAATATAGGATTATATCAAGAAAATGAAAATTCTTACATGAGCTCAACAGACAGCATCATGATAAATAGAAGATTGAAGTTTTCAGTGATCTTATTTTACTAGAATTCAAAAGTGATACCCATAGGTAGCAACAGTCAAGAAGTCAAAAGATTTACTGCATTGGGTACATTTGCTGTCACAGATCCCTTTACAGTGCTACAGAGCAAGGATATCAGTTTAAACACAAAGGTGCTCCTGATCCAAACCTTGGTTTCTTTCAACTGTTTCAATGAGCAAAGAAGGCTGATAAAAATTGATGTCTCCTAACTGTGTTGTTGATGAAGTGTATTGACTATTCCTGGGACTGCTGAAAGGACAAATATATCTGTCTTGGAGGAAATGTGGCCAAGGTGTTCCTCTGAGGCAAGCATAGCGATGTGTAAACTGGTATGCTTTGATAATGTTGTCAAGAAGGCATCAGCCCATGGAGAAAACAGAAAGTCAGCAAAAAAAGAAGAAAATCCTAAATGAGATGGATTGACAGGGACTACAAAAATGGGCTTGAGCCAGCACAAGCATGAGGATAGCACAGGGCAAGGCAAAGCTTCAATCTATCACACTGAAACATTTTAGGAAATACCATATGGATGAGAGTCAATGATAATGAAGTTCAAGGTCCACTGAAGGCCTTGTTGTTGTTGTTATGTGCCATCGAGTCGTTTCCGACTCATAGTGACCCTATGCACAACAGCTCTAAACCCTGCTCTATCCTGCGCCAACCGCACCGCCTCTGACACACCCATCCCGATTACCCCAGTCACCGAATCAATCCATCTCATAGAGGGTCTTCCACTCCTGCGCTGTCCCTCCACCCTCCCAAGCATGATGTCCCTCTCCAAGGACCCGTCCCTCCTGGCAACATGTCCAAAGTATGTCAGACGAAGCCACAGAATCCTTCTCCAAGGAGTAGCTTGGTTTAATCCTCTCCAAGATGAATATGTTTGTTTTCCTGGCAGTCCATGGTACATTCAGTACCCTTCTCCAGCACCACAGCTCAAAAGCATCCACTCTCCTTCAGTCCTCCCTAGTCATTGTCCAACTCTCTGATGCATACTGAAGGCCTTAGGGGGGAAAAATAAGGCCAGGAATTGGCATGATACCAACTGACTGACTTCAACTAACAGATGTGGCCCTGGATATGCTCATCATTTATACCAAGCAATCTGGAGGACAGCTATTTGGCCAACTGAAAAGAAGAGATGCAGGTTTGCACCCCTTCCCAAGAAAGGAGAGTCAACAGAATATGGAAATCACCAAACAATGTCATTAGTATCACATGCAAGCAAAATATTACATAAGATAATTCAAAAAACAGCTAAAACCATTTAGTGAGAGAAAAATGTAAGAAGTTCAAGCTGGGTTTAGAAAAGGCTGTGACACCAGAGCTATCATTGCTGATGTCAGATGGCTCCTGGCTAAAAACAGAGAACACCAGAAAAATACCTACTTGTGTTTTATTGACTAGGCAAAGGCATTTGACTCTGTGGATCAAAACAAGCTATTGGGAAGAAAAAAAACTACTGCTAAAATTGAGAAGATTGGGAATCCCAGAACACTTTATTAGGCTCATACAAAATTCATATCTAGATTAAGAAGCTATTGTTCTAACAGAGTAAGGGAACACTGCAAGGTTTTAACTCAGGAAAGGTGTATGTCAGTGTTGTAACTTTTCTTCATGCCTATTCAATCTGTATGCTGAGTATATTATTTGAGAAGCTGACATCAAGATTGGAGAAAGATTCATCCACAACCTTATGTAGATAGCACAACCTTCCTTGCTGAAAGTGAAAAGGACTTGAAGCACTTGCTGCAGAACATCAAAAACTACAGTCTTCAGTAAGAATTGCATCTCAACATCAAGAAGATAAAAAGCCTCACCACTGGACCTATAAACAAGATCATGACAGATGGAGAAATATACCCTTGGGAAAGTCACGAGGCGATCAGGAGACATATTGCATTGGGCAAGTCTACTGTCAGGGACCTCTCCAAATTACTGAGGAGCAATGAATTCAGTTTGAAGACTAAGGTGCACCTGGCCCATTGAAGTCTTTAAGCTGTGGTGTTAGAGCAGCGCCTGACTGACTTCAACTAACAGATGCAGACCTGAATATGTTCATCATTTATACAAAGAAATCTAGAGGACAGCTATTTGGCCAACTGAACAGAGAAGATGCATGTTTGCACCCATTCCCAAGAAAGGACCCATGGTCTGCCAAAAGAACAAACAGACATTCTTGAAGAAGGTGCAGTCAGAGTGCTTCTTGGAGGCAAAGAAGATAAAGCTTCATCTCATATACTTTGGACATGTTGCTAGGAGAGGCCATTCCTTGGGACATCATACTTAGAAAGGTGGAGGGTAGGGAAAAAAGAGGAAGACCCTCAGATGGATTGATACAATGACTGAAGCAATGGGTTCAAGTGTGTCAGAGATGATGAAGGTGACACAGGAGAGGACAGGGTTCAGTCTGTCATAGTGTTGCTCTGAGTTGTACTCACTTTGACAGCACCTAACAACAACTTAGTCAACTCAGTGACATCTAACAACAGCACTAGGAACTGTTAGTCTGGGCAAAGGGGGCCAAAGAGAAGAATGAAGAATTCAGAACTCAAATGCTGATGGCCTTGCCTACTGCTGATAAGAAGAGCAAACGGCCTTGCATGTCTGGCTGAGCTAGCAGGTGACTCTTAAATCAGAGTGGAATGTCCCTCCCTAAAGACTCTGTTTATAAAAATCCTCCCCAGTAAGTTCACAGTGTGTCTTCCCATTCTGCCTCTCCAGGATGAGGAACTCACCCGGGAGCTCCCGTTCCCCCCTACTTTAATAAAGCTACATTAAGCTTTCTCCTGTTCTCTCTGATTTCTTCTTTAAGTCCACTAACCCAACAGGAACAAAGATACAAAAACTTCTTAGCAATGAAAGAACACCTTTAGGGAATGAGTTGATGTATGTATATAAGGCTTGGGACCATTGTCTCAGAGGACACAGATGAAAAACAGTGTCACGAAGGCAGAGTCGACTCTGAGGGGCAGTTCTTCCTCAACCATATTTTAAATGTTTTCTAACCTACAAGGCTCATTTTCTGGATTGTATTAAACAGTGAATCTGTAGTCCTAGATTTAGCAAGGGCCTATTATTTCAAGAGTATGTGCTCAATTCTGTTTCTTAGCTGGAGTAGCTACAAACAAAACCAGGCATACATGTCTGATAGAAGCTGATGGAACTCCTGAGCCTCCAGCCCGTAGCAGTCCTTCAAGCCTGGACTCAAATTTGGCCCCTTAGCTCAACGTTCAGCCAAACAGTGGGCTGGTCTATAGGATGAACTACAGTAACAATAAAGTACTTAGAACAGTCAACCATGCCAGATTCAAAGGGCAGTATATGCCCTGGGATGAACATCAGAAGTCAGGAAGGTACAAGAAGAAAGAAACAGTGGAAAAAAAGAAATACAAGGGGGAAATCAGAGAAGTACTATTGCATAGTGTGAATGCTGTTAATGTCAGAAAATATAATGTGTTGCTGCTGTTGTTATGTGCCATCCAGTCACTTGCGACTCATAGTGACCTTGTGTAAAATAGCCCTAAACCCTGCTCTATCCTGAGCCAAAATTATTGTCTCCGTAATACCTACCCCCCTATAACTCCAGTCACTAAATCAATCCATCACATCAAGGATCCTCCCCTCCTGTGCTGTCCCTCCATACACCCAAGCATAATGTCCTTCTCCAAGGACTGGTCCCTCCTTGCAACATGCCCAAAGTATGTCAGACGGAGCTTCAGAGTGAGGCTTTCCCACTCAAGTTTTAAAATCATCTCAGGAACAGGTTTGAAGCCTTGAAGACCAATAAGCAAAGACCAGATGAAGTGTGGGAGGATATCAAGAATATTTTCCGTGAAGAAATCAGAAGAAGATCATTACAAAGACAGAGAAGGGAGAAAAGACCAAAATGGATGTCAGAAGAAGACTCTGAATATTGCTCTAGAGTGCCGAGAAGCCAAAGCAAAGGGAAGAAATCAAGAAATTAAGGAGCTGGTCATAAGATTTCAAAAGGCAGTATAGGAAGACAAAGCAAAATATTATAATGAAATGTGCAAAGAGCTGGAGTCAGAAAATCAAAAGGACCAAACTCACTCAGCATTTCTGAAGCATTTCTTTAAAAACATGATGTGTATAAACAGTTAAGTGGAAATTGCCCATAAAATTTCACTGAAATCACAATAAAGTTTAAAAAAATAAAGCATAAAGAAAGCTAAGTATATTTTTAAGCTTCATGCAATATTGTTATTTGTATTCATATTTGCCAGTTACGGAAATGAGTCACAGATAATTTAAGTAACCTGAAAGAGGTTGCATAGCTAGTAAGTCCTGGAGCTGGGACTTGAGCCCAAGTATTCCAGCTTCAAGGACAATATCAACACTTAGAATACTTAGTGGCAAAAATAAGGTACAAAACTGCATTTATAGCATGATTCAAATAATTGAAAAGTATACATATTTGAATATGGGTTTAATAATGCATCAGAATATTAAATAATCATTTCTAACCTGACTGAGAAGTTTTATGTTCTAGATTGTTCACTTTTGTTTTTTTTCATATTTTCTGTACAAACAATATGTATTTTTAAACTCAGAAGAAGTACTTTTCTAACTATATTGTATGTATTAACTTGAGCCAAATAAAGTCACTAGTATTTGACCACTTCTGATTTACAAAAGCAAAATGTTATCTAGAACCTGCTGTCATATACAATTATTTTGTCATTTTTTCCTCTCCTGATCTCTTTTACTCCTCATAATCACTCTTGGGGATTTCCTTCAGTTAATTTGTTGTTGTTAAGTGCTGTCAAGTCATAGATGACTCATAACAACCCTATGAACAAAAGACCTGAACACTTGTATAACTTCCATCACTTCTCCAAGTTTATAGAGTTTCCAGAGGCAAGCCATTTCGGAAGTGGATGCCACTCCTGCTTCCATGTTTGTTTTAATCAGGGAGCTCTACCAAATACTGTCCACCATGGGTAACCATTATTACATTTGACACAGCAGTGTCACAGTGTTTAGTGTTGCAGTAACCACGAGTTACCTCTGTACAGCAATGCACAGACCAGTGCTATATCACTTAGAAGAATGTTTGGTCAACCTAGCTTTTAGAGATGTTCACGTATTGCCATCCACCCTCATACAAATGTCTTATTTTCTCAATGTTAATTTATATAGCTATAATGAGAAGAAGTAAGTTTTACTTTCTGAAAGTCAAAAAATGACTGAAAAGTATTTCTTGTACCTGTAGATGGAGCCATAAACACCTAACAGACTCTCAGTGCATTGTTGATTCTAAATTATGCTTCGTACTTGGGTCCTAGGTTCCT